AACTTTTGGACATCACAAGTTTAACAGAAATATGTTCTTTGAAATCTGATTTCATGGCAACCTCAGAAACAACTATTGAATTTTTATAGTACAACACCAAACCTCTTTTGTTGACTTCAGCAAAACCTGAGGAAATGATGGAGTAACCATTCATATTTATTTCAGATAAAACTCTACAATTTCTAAAGTTTTTTGGATTTACTTCATTCAAAACTATCAAATCTGGTGAAATCTCCAAGCTCTGCAAAAATATTTTTAAATCCTCAAACTTGTTAGTTAAAGAATCAACATTGGACATAATTATACTTAAATTATTGTTGTTGTTACAGCTTAAATTATTTATGATGCTAAATTTTGCCTTCTGTAAGCAATCACATGAAAGTCTCCTGGTTTGCCTTTTAACCTGAAAATCCACTTTGTGATATCTTCTTTAGCAGCAATTTCACTTTTTTTCTCTTCAAGAATTTTTTTATTACTGATTCTGTCTTCCTTAGATAGATCATGATTTATTATAACTTTACTAAAACATGTTGAGTTTCTCAGTTTAAAACAGTTTGCAAGCAACAAGTTCTTGGTAGTTAAACTTGCTAGTTGTACTAAAACTGGTCTTGGTTTGGCCTCCTCTGATTTTCTACCCAACCTGGATATATCAACCACTTCTGACTCAGAATCTATATCAGCAATCTCTTTCAACAGTTTGCCAACACATACCCTGGGGTTATTTTCCTTCTCATCTAAATTATATAATATTATGTTATTTTTTCTTTTTTCCCTATCATTATTAATATCTATTTTGGTAGTTGTATCTAAAATGGATTTTTGCATCTTTTTAACATCAGTCGCAAGAGTGTCAACCTTCCCTTTTACAGCTTCTGAATATTTCATTAACACTTGTTCACTTTTTTCAACTGTTTTTTTAGTTATTTTCTCATTATCTTCCAACTGTTTTAAAGAAATTATAGATATATTTTCCATTCTTTTTCTTAAATCTGACCATTCTTCATTTTGTGCATATATGGCTTTTTCAAGAATCTCCATTTTTGACATCATGGAATGTGTAATGTCTCGCATTTCACTTTTATAAACTTCCAATGATGGTCCAAAATCCAAACTGGCAACCTTTTCTGTTTCAACCAAAATTTGTAGCTTTTCCCTATTACATTTCATGCATTCTTCACATAACTTTAATCCCAAGTTATCATTGTCTGTACACTTCAGTTCTGAAACTGTGTCTTTCGGCTTTTTCTTTCTTTCCATCACTTGCAATCAATTAACGAGATATATTTACCACAAAAGAAACAAATAAATAATTAATTTAAATCAAGTTAAATTAAATGTTCGGTTTTACGAGTTTTACGAGCGATAAATATCTTGCTACGATATTTTAACACTGCATTAGTTTTCAAAATTATTTTGTGCGAGCATTCCTTACTGTTGATCTATACATAAAAGTACTTTTGCCGAAAAAGGAAATCCTATATATCTAAAGATCATATTTCTAAAAAATTTTAAAACGTCAATTTGCAGGTATTAGAATTAATCATTCATGTTTTAAATAGATTTCTAGATGTACAGATTTAATTACAAATCATTTAGATCTTCCAGAACGTAATTACAAAGCTGTGTGAACTATAAAAAAGTAATTGCGTTCCAATTATGGGATGTAACATTTTCCGCAGCAGCGCTCTCCATTGTTAAAAATGATAAGATATCAGACATTAGTGATATTGATGAAAAACAATGTGATCAAGCTTGAAAAAATTTAAGATTTATAACTTATAATGACTGAGTGAGCAATCTACTATCAAATCTCTTTGAATGACATAATAAACTATAGTATTATTAAGTTATCGTTTCCAAAATATCAAACTTTTCCATTTGTTGTCAACTTGAAAAATCAGATAAATAATTGGTTCAAATTTCTGTTGTGTGATGGAAGGAACCAGGAAAGGAACTGTGGTCATGCAGCTTTAAGCCCAGTACCAACTTGAAGACCACGTTGTGCGATTATTCATGGGACGTTTGTAAACACTGTCTATAGATCGACTAGAGACACCGTGTTTTGTTTCCTCTAGCGTTCACACCATTGTAATTTTCGCAATCCTCTACATAGGACAATGTTTCATCAGTTAACCTGCGATGCAAATAATTGCAAAGACTTATTAAGACCACGGTCAAGTTAACACACAACACAACATACGCCTTCTTATCTGAATATACAAATGTATGCACGTTAAAACATTTAAACTGAAATAATTGAAATATAAGATAAGACTTAACACGTTATTTGACACTTAGTAAAGGACACATCTGCTGCCATCAGCCCACCAACGTGTTTGGCTGCCAGGAATGTTTCAAGACGGCTGCCTCAAATTGGAGGATTGTAAAAACAACTGAGCAGAATATTGAAAACTCGTGCATAACTTGACAGGAATAATTATTTCATGGCACGATTGAATAAAAATAAATAAGTCGATATCTACTAAAACAAACACACACACACAACGTACACACACTCACAACGCACACACGCACACAACACACACACATATTCATTTTTGGTTCCTATATTATATTTTACTCAATATAATATTATTTGTAGGTTAAATCGAGGGACTATTTCGATAGAAATAAAAAAAATTTAGCATATGACACTTTAACTGACAAATTAAAGGAAATCGAGCCAAATGCATGTTTAAAAATAATTTGACGATATATAAAAATTTAAATTTCAAAATTTTTACAAGAATTCAATTCAATTCAAACAAACTTTTATTCAGTAAAAGTAAAAAATACATTACTAGGAGACCCGAAGTTTTCACTTGTTGGGCCAGCGTAACAGCGTAACCATAACAACGAATTGACTGAATTGAAAAACTGGGTTAAATAACTGGTGTGTGTCAGCTAATTTATTCAAGCCAGTCCGCGCGCATTTTTTTCTGCGCAGTTAAAACTGAGCAGAAAACTGATCGTGTGTAGGGGGCTTATCTCACGTCGCTTTTTGTTTACAAGCAATTAAATGATAAATTGCCTACTTCTTTTAATAATTATTATAAGTACGCAAAAAGTAAGTTATTTACAATCGAATAAGTCTAAAACCAATATCTTATATTCACAAGTATTTTGTAAGGGTCCTAGGACCTGAAATAATATTCTTAATAATGGATTTGAATACAATGCGAAATCGATTGTTGATTTTAAGAAAAAGCTTAAATCGTTTTTAATGATTAACAATTAGTCACGCAATTTGGCAGAGAGATTGAAAAGCATATTTTATATGTGTTCAACTTATTTGATTATTTACTTAATTATGTTACTTAATTTATTTTCCGTTTGGTCGCATTTTTATGTTTCGCAGCCTTCACTTAATATGCATTTGAAGATTATTATTTATTATTATTAATAGAAAACTTAATATAGCGTTCGTTATAGCAGTTTTCACAAACGCTATCAAATTATAACTAATATTAACAACAAAACAGCAAGAATGAAAAGAGATGAACTATAATGAAAAAAGGTATGTCTTTAATTGTCTTTTAAATTCAGCAATGTTCATTCCAGGCATTCTGAGGGCTGACGGCAAGCCGTTCCATACAACAGGACCTGACACAGCAAAATCACGCGATCCAATCTTTAGCTGTCTATGAGGAACCACAAGAATGTTCGAATCGTCCGACCTCAGACGCACACCAGGTGCGGTCGACGTTTTTAATTTCAGTTTATCTAATAAATATTATGAAAACTGTGACAGAGATTTCAAAAACAATTCTTTTATTTATGGGCAACCAATGCAAATCACTCAGGTGTCTAAATATTATTGGTTTACTAACAGACTTTGTCATTAATTTCTACTAACATTCAACAATAACAACATAACTTGGAATATATTTTATCTAGGTGGCTGTGCTAGATGAACTCATTAGGAACTTGATCACAATCGTCCTGTCTCTTATTTATTAAATTAATTTTAATTTTATGCAACAAATAAAAATTCGTTGTATGTATGTACGTATGTATGTTATGCAGGTAAGCATTTTTGTATGTATGCATGCATGCATATATGTATGTATTTACGTATGCATGCATTTTTTAGGATAGGATATGTGTATGTTTTTTTTTATATATATATGTTTTCTCACTAACCAGCTCTTCAAACGTGGCTGTTTTTATAGCAAGCATGTACGTGCTTATGTATGATGTACGTACTCAGATGCTTCAGGAGTTGCAAATTTTTCTAACGTGAAATTATCATTATTGAATTGTGGTTGTAAAATGTAAAAACTAATGCTTCGGTATGTTTGACCCCCCCACTATGTTTTGAAATGTTTCGAAGCAGTGAACAGCTGTCCATCTGACTAATTCACACAACAATGAAAAGATGGCCGTCATATATCTTCAATATGTTTGAACCCAATTTTTTTTTAAAAACTTGTTGAATGAAATATTTAGCACCTCTGTTGATTATGCAATGGTCACTTGTTTCATAAATCAAACTTTGTAATAATTTAAAATTTTAATCGTTTTGGTATGTTTCAATTGCCTAGCATGCGTATAATTATATGTGTATGCGTGTGTATGTGAATGTGTAAAGAAAACAAGATGGAAATATTTTATTTTTATTTACAGTTAAGGCAAGTTCAGGAATAAAAAAATTAACAAATAAAAACAATATGAAAAACGACAGAATATGAAAAGAACTAGGAACCATAACAGTGTCAGCTTGCTAAATGACGAAATTTAAAACGATAATTTAAACACGCTGGATCAAAGCACTAACTATCAACCACACTCATCAGAAAAAAACATAAATTATAAATTGTAGATTTATAAAAATGTTAAACCCATTTAAAAATATATAATATAAACATATAAGCAATACATACAATAAATTCAGTTTTAGTACATTTTTAACAAAACTAAAACTATATCAATAAGAGTAAACCAGAAAAATTTTTTTAAATTGACGCCAAAATTACACAATCTGATAATATAACGAATGGCAGCTAGAATTTTTTGACCTTCTTTAGGAAGGTTCATTTTGATGCATTAACTTCTTTGATTAAATCGTGGATGATATCTTTGATAACTGCATTGCCATTCATGGGTTTGAATCTGTTTTTATATCAGCTTTCTGACTAACTTCAAATTTGAATAATCCCATAAATGTTTTATCCGAATGAATGAATTTTTAGGGATCAAACATTTATTCACTATCTTATATGTTAATTACTATTAAAGATTATTGCAATTGTCAATGTTACCTAATCTATGTCAATTTTTATTTCTTTGCTTCTCTCTCAATCTTCTATCTTTTTCCTGAGAGCTTGTAAACGAGACGGTTCGAGATTCACGTTAGAATAATGTTAACACATTTTTATGCCTGAATTGTGTTTGATTTATTTTACTTCACAACAAGGTGTCTTGTTAGTAACAGAACGCTCGCACTAACAAATTATTTTTAACAGGCAAGATGGCTAGGCCAACGATAGGACAGACTGACTGTGGATAGGCTTGCTGAATGTATTATCATCTCATGTAGATGGTATTATGTGTAGATTGTGTTATGTAGATTGTAATGCTTCTTCTGATGTTGATACCTCGGTTCTCTATCATGATGTTGCTAGGAATACCGTATCTACATAGGAACAGGGAACTAGCGGATCACTCGATTGGTGACAAATTAAATTGATGACTTATACGACTTAGTTATTATGTTAGTTACGACGATAAGAAATATTATATTTTAGTGAATCAAATACAAACTCACCCATTTTAGTTTGATTGTTCTTTTTCAAAAACGAGAAAATATAAAAAAATTTCTCTTCCTTATCCCCTCTCCTTTTTCTTTTGTTTAATGCTGCATCTCCTTATATAGGAGAGAGTGCTTGCGAGTTGGCGTCTTAATGGCTGTACACTGGTCTAATAACCTAATCCGCATTTTCGTGGAAAATTATTTGCATTCCAGTCGTGATGAATTACGGTCATGCGCGTCTTTTTCTTATTTGTTTAGTATTTCTCTGTATGTGTCTGTGTGTATGCCTTTCGCTGCGTGCATTGCTAATCTCCTATGCTCAGAATGCCTGCACATTGGTCTAGCTTTCATCAGCGTTTCCTTCCATGGAACAATAAATACGTCAGTCGTGGTAATTTACAGTTTATAATCAGATTGTGTATGTCAGCGTGTTTCTATGTGTGTTAGTCTTTGAAATGGTAGAGAGAAAAATTTCAATCAAGAACTGCGTTAGGCATATGAAAAC